ACTAACAAACAAGAAGTACTGTACTTCTGTCACTTGACACTTGACACTATGTGCTACCTTTATAAAGGTATATTTGACCACAGAAACCATAAACTTTATTTTAATAAGACTACCATTAACCTTGATAAAGTCAATGAAAAGATGTCAATCTCTCTCAATAGTATTGGGTTCAGAGCAGAGAAGATTCAGTAACATTAGAAAAACAAGAAAGCACATAAGTACTTAGACCAAAATATTATTTAAAAATGGTTTTGAAGAGGGGGAAGAAGATGCTTAAGATTAATCTCAGAGTCTGGTTTGTTTGCTTTGAAAATTAGTCAAGGGCTGTACACCTCCCATGGGGCGTGTTGACACTATAGATTTTCACTTGCACGTCTCCCTCACAGAATAGTTTAAATTGTTCTCTGAATTACATCTGTACATCCGCTGTCCTTTTTTACTTCATTGATGTTCAGTTAAAGAGAGAATTTAATTCATTGTCTCCATGAGGGAACAATATGTCCATCCCAGCTCTTATGTTCAAAAAACTTTAATTTTCAAATAAAAGCCAAAAAAGACATTTACTTCAAATCCAAACTTCCTTTTCTATTTGCTTAAATAATTTTCCTGGTCCTGATGTCCATGATTTTATACATATAATCTCATTGCAGGTGCTTAATATCTGGTGAGACAACTGAAACGAGGTTAAATACAAGGCCCATGAAACTCTTGAGAATATGAAACATTTAAAACAGCCATTCCACACTTTTCATTACAAGCTCTTGCATCATAGCTCTGTACTCAAACCTCTCAGTGCTTCACACCTTCTTTGAGGGGAATATGGTTGTTATTTTGGTGTTGGGATATTGTGAAAACAAATAAAAAAAATTAAAAAGTTTTTCTCTTTGTATAGTATAGAGGTATTTTCCCCCCTCCCTTATGACAACTATATGTATTTTTAAGAGCGTTTTACCAACTGCAACCAGATGCACTAAAAATCTATTTTTATTATTACACAGACAGGACAAAAAGGAAAGATGATTTTATAATCAGTCACTAGATGAGCACTTGAGTGTTACAGTATCAATTATCAGCTTTGCCAGAATCTTTCTGAGTGTCATAAACAAGTCGCAGTGAGATTAAAAAAATATCTTTTTGCCTTAATTGTTTATTGTGTAAAGTAATATACACCAGTTTTCTAGAACAGCAACTCAGTTCATACTTCCTTTTGATTATCAAGGCCACTAGACTAATAAGGAATGATTATATTTGTTTGTTTGCATCCAGCTCCTACAGAGGTTGTCTTTTGAAACCATGGAGACACCTTTTCAAGCGGAAGAGAAAGATCTGTGTCCTTCAACATGTAAAGAGTTATCCTCGTAAACAGGAGCTCTGGCCTGAAGAAGCCTTTCAATCTTCTTTGACAAGTGTTGCAACCATTAGGCTTCATATAAAATAGAGACTTCAGGAACAGTAGCAACACATCTCTGAGGAGAGAAGAATGAGAGATGCATGTTCAAGGAAATGAGCTAAGAACTGCTTTTTGGTTGAATTAATTTTGACACAGAACCAACTTAAAGTGAGACACAGCTATATTGTTATACTCCATCAGTACACTCATGTATACCGACAAGTATGACTTCCTCCATTCATGCTTTGAATTGGTAGATGTGAAACAGCTGATACCTGGATTCCAGATGGTCCAGATCCACCTACAGTGTTTTGAGAAAAACACTGTACAGGGTATATTTCTCAGAGCAGACTGTCATGCCGAGAATTCTAGCCCTTATGAAATCAAATGCTTTCTTCACTTGTGTATGGTGTGCTCCACTCTTCTGAAGACCTAAGATTATACTTTTTTCCCTCCTTCAGAAGTTACATACTGTACTTCAAGAAGCAACTGCTAGTTGCTTATTGTGGATCCTATTCCTATAAACCTGAAAGTTTTATGCTCAGTAATTAGGGAATTCCTGGCTTTAAATTTGAGTTCTACACTAAGAAATATCTTAAACTTTTGACCATTGCTTCACTAATCATTGCAAGTTCCTCTTTTGATCTAGACCTTAACCTTTTTGTGCTAGAGCTCTAAATAGGAACTAGTAGTGATTTCATTTTTAATTTGGTCACGGTTCTTAGGAATAATGCAAAGTAGAGGAGCAGTACAATTTTTGGACATTAATATTTGGGGCCATGAGGTCATGCCCCAATTTACTTGATACTACTAAAGGCAGTTATGAAGATGTTACAGTTAGATTAGTTTTGGTAGTATCACACAGTATAACAAAGGAAAATACAAATTTTGTCTTGATCATTCAGGAAAAAGAAAATCTGTAGGAGGTTTGCACAGCCCAGGAACAGGTTGCTCAGAGGCATGGTGGAATTTCCATCCTGTGAGGTTTTCATGCTTTGGCTGGTAAAGCCAGGGCTGGTGTGACTTGTTGTAGTGTTGGTGGCAGCTGTGGCAGGCTTAATTTGACTGGCTGCCAAATGCTCACTCAGTTGCTCTCTCACTCCACCTTCTCAACAGGACAGGGAGAGAAAATAAGCTGAGCAAGCTCATGATTTGTCATAAATGTGATTCAATAAAAGAAAAAGCTGTGTATGAAACCCAAATATAAAGAGGAATTTATCCACTCATTCCTATTGGCAAGCAGATGTGCAGACACTTCCTAGGGAGCAGGGCCTCAGTATGCATAATGGTTGCTTTGGAAGATAAATGTTATATGGTCTGTAATATCCCTTTGGTCAATTTGGATCAGTGTCCCTTGACAATTACTTACCCTCTTAAAGACAACTAACCTTTGGGTGTGGGGAGACAGCATTGATGCTGTGCAAGCAGCAAAACACTGTTCTAGCCAAAAATGCAAATCATGGCACAGTGTGGGCTGCTGTGAGGAGAATTAACTCCATGCCAGTTAGACTCAATGCAGGAGTATATCTCTGAATTGACAGCTGGACTAAATGACCTCCATAGGTCAATATTTCTATAATTCTAGGATTCCTTTCTTACATCCCAAACTCGTGTGCTATACACAATCCAACTGGCTCTAGTGATTGACATTTACCCTTTTATTACTGCATGAAGGTCATAACATTGTTAAATATCCTCATCATGATACCAAAAAATGTCATCCGNCATTTACAGATCTGTGCAACCACAAAGACTATAAGCTGAAATAATGAACATAAACTACTCAATAGTAATTGTGAGTCACCTTCAACTATCAAACCCCATTTGACAGTATCCAGGTCAGCAGACAATTTTAACCAAAACGTAATTGTACATTGACTGCTATCTTGCTTTGTAACCTGACAATACTTTGGCCTAAATTTCTGTCTCTATTTCTTCAACACGCCTTAGGGGACACTATCTCAGTTTTATCTTTGCAGAGGAAATGAGAAAACTGTCTTTATTTGTCTTATAGCTCATGGAATTAAAAAAAAAGAAAAGAAAAGAAAAAATTGCTCATGCCCCGACTTGCAAGAAAATCCTTCCTTTTAATTTAAGACAAATAGGCTTTTAGGGAGTGCAACACCATACTGCTGTTGAAGAAAAAAAATCTAAAAGACTTCTGAAGCTTTTTATATCATTACAGCCACATTGTCACCACCTTTTCATTTTCTATTCAAGTCACTACTTAGTTGGTGAAAAGGCTAGAAATTGCATGACCCATTTCCTATATACATTTGGAAAACCCAGTTAGATTCTTTCTTCACATTCATTTCACTGAAGCTGTCTGAATTGTTCTAGAGAATGAATGTCACTGCAGTTAGATTTGCATCTAGAAATCAAGATGAAAGGTCATTTGTGACAGCAGTCCAAACACGTGTTTACTGATGCCAAAATAACTTTTAAAGGTATTAGGTTAAACCATCACATTAAGTTTTGAAAAAAATTATTTCAATCATTTCCAATGTAGTGCTTTCCAAAATTAGATGTAGTGTTTTTGCAAATCAATTATTGTCTGTTATCACCTTTCTTTCTGTTTTCTCAAATTATTCCTAGGAGAGTGGCCCAGCAAAAGCTTTCCATTGATATGTCCCTGCAGGGGACATATTTTAAATTCAACATTTATATTTTTATATGTATATATAATTACATATTTGTGTGTTTATATATTTGTATTTATACCTATGTTTAGGAAGCAGAGACACTATTTTCTATCTTTCTCCTGATTTATTTTTAGTCTCGTTGTTGTTCATTTGGTCAGTGAATTTATCCTAAAATTGTGTCTCAAATTCTTTCTCCTTGCATCTGCAGATATTCTTCCTAATTACTGAATACTTCCAGGTTGTTTACATTCTTCCCCAGATAGGCCTGATATCTCATTCTCTCTCACACTGCTTAAACATATGGTCTTAGCCAATTTTTTTCTTTATCTTTTCGCTGCTCCTCCCTCTCTTTTCTTTACTGTCAATTTTAATCTGTATTTTCAGTGCAGGGAAGATTTCTCCAGAGTAGCAGCAAAAATGGTATTATGAAATTTCATAGATTGCTATGATCTTGGAGTTTTAAAATAGAACAAACTATTGTCATAGCAATGCGTGTTCTTCCTATATAAAATATTCAGTCTTGCCTGTAGTTGATCTTCAATATCTGGGGCACTGGGCCTTTGCTTTTTTTTGCAACACTTTTTCAAGTCTAACTTATTAATTACTACACAACATAGAAAATTTAGGACTTTAACAGCCTTTCTCCTCTTTGAGGTAGATGATATTCTAGTGGAAAAAAAAAAAAAGCTCTACTTGTGGATCAAAGATGGAATGGTCTTTCACTGCATAATTCACATGGGGTTTTTTGCCCAACAATTTCTATCACATTATTAATCAGAGTCATTTTTTTTTCCAAACCTTTCTGTCTTTCGTAACTTTTATTTCTAAAATCTTGTCTGGGGACAATATTCCACTTTGTTCCATAAATTCGGTTTACTATTGCTATATTAAGCTAAAGAGGTCACGGGTTGCTCTTTGAATACTCCAGAAAGCCAGTTCCTCCTTTTTCTTCCTTCTTCCAGACCTATCAACTGTTATGAGTTATGCAGTATTTGCACTGGAATACCTTTTTTTAATAAAAATTAACATCTCTTTCCCCAGGAGGTAACAGGAAGACAAGCAGCAAATGAATAAATATATTCAGGTAAGCAAAATAACACTGAAATATTGTGTTTAATGGAACACAAAACAATTCTGCATAACCACTGTCTAGCTGCTTTTACAGTTTGGCCTTCCTGCGAGTTTTGGAAGCATTCCTCTCACAGGGCAGTTTGATTTTAAAAGGATCCTTTCCCCCTGATTTTAAAAGGACTCTTTTTCCCATACCTAAAAAGTAGTTCACTTCCCTAATTGCGTGCCATTATTTGTGATTTCTTCTTTCTCTTCTTTAGATGCAGAACTCTTGGCAATGTTACATTTACCATAATGGACAACAAAATGCAGTCGAAGGAGAAACTCTGTGTTATAACACTGTTAGATGAAGCATTTATTTAGGTTAACATTTTCTCTGGAAAGTTTGGAATTGTACAACAGTAACTTCTTTGCCAAATATGTTCTAACCCGTATCTGTGACCAGTTTTGCTTCTGGGACTTTGATTTGTTTATAAGTTATGCAGAGTGTAGTAACTTGCAGTTCAGATACGACAAATAAAGACATTTTAAGTTCTTAATTTAGCAGATAGAAATATCTTTTCCATTTAAGTTTGACTAGAGGGAGAAGGACTCTCCTAGAAAACAAAGTAATGAGCCCATAGTAGAAAGGGTTATTGAAGTCACAGGGATGACCAGTGTCTACAAAAGAAAAAGAAGTATAAACGAAGAGATCAATGGTGCTAATAAATAATGTGTAGAGTGTTATTTTATAAAAGTAAATAAAGCAGACATACAAAGGTTAAACTTTTTCTACTTCATTACAGTCCCACTAATCAACATGGGCAATACCTGATTCTTCTATGAAAACCAGAGACAAATGACAATGAAAGTTATAATATTTCTGAACTAATAAGTAGTAATTTGAATTGAAAATAATTTATGGCTATAGTTGGTAGATTTGTTTGCTAGTGTTTTAAGTCACTGGTTTCCATTTGGACATTGAGCCATTGACTGTAACTCTTTGGATGTAGCCATCCAGACAAGTTGTTATCCAACTAACAGTCCACCTTTCAAACTCATATCTTTCCAAATTAGAGGTAAGAAAGCTGTGGGGGACCGTATCAAGGGCCATGCAGATGTCTAGATAGATGACATGTGTATCTCCTTCCTTCTCCACTGGTGCAGTTACTTCACAGTAGAAGGCCACTAGATTAGTCAGGCATTATATTCCCCTCATGAAAATATGTTGCTGTCTCTAATTGTCTCCCTGACTTCCATATGTTTCAACAAATTTTCCGGGAGGATCTGTTCTATGATCTTACGAGGTACAGAGGTGAAGCTGACTGGTCAGTAGTTCCCAGGGTCCGCCCTATTGTCCTTTATAAAAATGGAAATGATGTTTTAATTTTTCAAATCACTAAGGACTTCACCTGACTGTCATGACTTTTGACATAGGAGGGAGAGTAGTGTGGCAACTGCATCAGTCAGTTCCATCAGGACCATAGGATACATCTTCTCAGGTTCCACGGGCTTACATATATTCAGGTTTCTTATGTGATCTCTAATCTGCACTTCACTTATACTTGATCTTCATTTATGATGGAAAGGACTTCATTCCCCTATTCCCTGACTTATGGTCCATCTTGAGAGATGTGAGAAGAGTGATTACCACTGAAAAAGGAGTCAAAAGTACTGTCGAATGAATCAGCCTTTTCCATATTGGTTGTCACTCTTTCTCCTGGTGTTTTAAAGGCAGTCCAGAAATACAATTCCACTCTACAAAGAATAAAAGTCGTATTTATTCAGACCTTTTTAGATACCATGGAAAGTTACAACATTGAAGTTTCTTCTGGAAGGTACCTTATGTAGAAGGTTTTTTCCAACATTTTTATATGTGCACAAAACATGTTTGGTTTTATTTTACAGCCACTTTATTTAATAATAATTTAGTGTTTTGCTCAAAAAAACCCACACTTATTTAAGGTGATAGATTAACCTTTTTTTACGTTACTTTATCTATCATAGAAGCATAGAACCATGGAATCTCAGAATGGGTTGGTTTGGAAGGTACCTTCAAGATAATCTAGTTTCAGACCTCCCATGCTATGGGCAAGGACACCTTCCACTAAACTCTCTCAGCCTGTCTTCATAGGAGAGTTCTTCCAGCCCTCTGATCTTCGTGGCCATCCTCTGGATGCACTCCAGGTCCACATCTTTCTTCTGTTGGGGACTCCAGAGCTGGATGCAGCACTTCTGATGGGGTCTCACGAGAGCAGAGGGAGAGAATCACCTCCCTCGACCTACTGGCCACACTGCTTTTGTTGCAGCCCAGGATACAGCTGGTTTTCTGGGCTGCAAATGCACATTCACAACAACATTTTCTCCTCAGGGCTGCTTTCAATCCATTCTCTGACCAGTCTGCATTTGTGCTCGGGATTACCCGGACCCAGATGCAGGTCCTTGTACTTGGCCTTGTTGAACATCATGAGGTTCACAGAGACGTACCTGTCCAGCCTGTCCAGGTTCCTCTGGATGCTATCTCTTCCCTCCAGTGTGTTGACCGCACCAAACAACTCGGTGTCATCAGCAAACTTGCGCTTGATCCCACTGTCCATGATGCTGAGAAAGGTGTTAAACAGCACTGGTCCCAACATTGATACCTGAGGAACACTACTCATCACTGGTCTCTCCTTGGACATTGAATCATTAACCACAGATCTTCGACTGTGGCCATCCAGCCAAATCGTTATCCACAGAGTGATCCATCAATCAAATCCATGTCTCTAGAGCTAAGGATGCTTTGTGTCAAATGCTTTGCACAAGTCTAGGTAGGTTATATTAGTTGCTCTTCCCTTATCCACCAACACTGTAACCCCATCATAGAAGGCCACCAAATTTGTCAGGCACTATTTGCCCTCAATGAAGTCATTAAGGCTGTCAGCAACCACATCCTTATTTTCCATGAGCCTTAGCACGGATTCCAGGAGGATCTGCTTCATTATCTTGTCAGGCACAGAGATGAGACTGACTGGCCTGTTCCAGCCCTCAAATGTGTGCAACCCCACAGACACAATTGCTGCAGAAATCTTTGAGGCATTTAAAATGCCACGTAACCAATTAGGAAGGAGTAACTGTTCTTCTCTCTGCTATTCCTATGGGGAATGTAAAAAGAAAGTTTGTGAGCGCTTCTAATTTACTTGTAAAAACTCCGTTTAAACACCTTCACCAGTAACACGAAACCTGAATGTTTTCACACAGAAATGTGTGAGAAGTTGACACACACTTGTAAAATTGAACAAAGAGAATAGTAACTGCTGGTGAGCAGTTACTCATCATGAGAGTCTGAGACGTTTTTTCTGAAGCTCTGGCAGACCTTTCTGGAAGAATGTCTGACCACAATTCAGGTAACATTACGGTGGGTGCAATAGACTGTATTGTTGTGCTACTTATTCATTTCTACCTACTTGCAGAAAGGGCTTTCATGTAAATGGATGTGAAGGAACAGAAAAATAGATACTTTTCAGTGGCATGATATTATCAGGTATAAACTGCCTTTGCTGACTGGTAAATCAATCCAAAAAAGTGCTACAAGGTTATGTCTCTAAACAGCATTTAGGTAAAGAGGATCCCTTGAAGTTGTAACTAAGGTTTACACTGAAACAATTTTCTTGGAGGTGTAATCACAGCTGGAAGGTTTCTCAAATAGAAGTACAAAAGACTGTGGCTTAGCTCCAGTTTTCCATATTTTCTTACTTGTTTTTTGGGGTTTGGGTGCTTTTTTTTTCCATTTGTAGAGCAAATTATTCAATATAGTAAATTTCAGTTCTCGTGTTTGTGTACATCTTGAGATACTTTAGACATAAAGAAAATCTCTGCAATGTATCGAAGGGCAATATCCTTGAATTTCTATCAGGAAGAACAATTATCAATAGCTTAGATTACAGTCGTTGCTTTGCTAAAATGGAGTTTTAATAAGGTAGGGATAAAAACATTTAATTCGCTATGTGAAAGTCTTATACATGAAACATCCCTTTTTAGCTGTAATATTCAATTCCATACAAGTTGTTTAGTAGCTCTTCTTATGACTCCAAAACATAAGTTTCACATATACAGAACATCAAAATCCTTGCTTGCTTCAGGTGGATTTTTCTGTTATCACTGCTCCCAGAGTGGCCTGTTAAGCTGGATAAATATGCTATCTTTTTTCCAGAGCATAATAGAGTTGCTAGAAGCGATATATAAAATTTACTGTCTAAAAATCAATCATTTTTGCAAGACATATGAAGAAGAAAAGACATCAAGAGTGTTTGCAGGTAATTAAAGTGGTTTGTGATTTTTTTTTTTTTTTTAACTAAAATGTCCTTCATTTTGTGCTTGGTAACTATATGCCTGCAATGGCAGTTCACTGCTTACATATCTGTAACAATATTTGCAATAGTTCTATCATTTCTTATTCTTCTGAATCCGGTTATTCAGGATTATGAGAAAATGTTCAACATATATTCTAATTAAATAAAGTCCATCCCTTTTTATGAAAATGATGAATTTATTAATTCTGTATACATGCATTTCTTTCAATCTTCTCTTTCTTTCGTTACTTGGTCGAAGAGCTTATATTCACTGAAACAAACTCACCTTGGAATGAGTTAAATATTTCATAAGCTTGATTTAATTGCTGTCATTTCCAATAGCTTCTCTACTCAGGGGACACTCTTTTTATAGGAACCCTATTGGATTTTTTACTGTCAATAAAATTTTTTTAGACATCATTAATTTGATTTTAAGGGTGAATGAACCTCTGGAGTTTTTCTCCTGATGGCTGTTAATTTCAAATCTGCAATATTTATTCCTCTTCCACATCTTAGATTCAGCTCAGGCTCAATAAAACAAAAAATAGTAAAGGTATATGTACATCTTTAAATGTTTTTATTTGTGTGCCAATCACCATTTTGTACTTTGCTATGGATAATTTTTTTCATGCATTTTCAACATGTAAAACTGATAAAAATAATATTTTAAGAGATTAAATGATCTAATATTAAAAATTATACAGCAGTATCATTTTGGTTACTTCTTTCTGTCTATTTTTTTGTTTTAATCATGTTATAAACTCTTTCCTAAAATGAAGTTTAAAAATGCATTCACTTATAGTATGTCACTCTTGTGACATACAATCTTGCAAGGTTTTTCAGTAAGAAAATAGCAAATGCTATTAGAACTTTTAGCTAAATTCAAGATTCTATAACTTCTTTGGAAATTATTAAACGAAATATTATTTCTAATTTTTCTGAATTTTCCTTGTGTATGCGTATCTGTGTTTATGTGTACAGATAATACATTGAGCCATAAATATTTCTATCCATAAGTTCAAGCAGCAAAACGAAATTATAGTATGTTTGTTCACATCTGCAACAGTATGAAGAACATACATGATTAGCCAGTGAATAAATTATCTATCACTTTAAAAAGAGCACTAAACCTACTGTAGTTTAGAAACAAGTAGGACAGTGACAGAGAAAGAGAAATACGAGGAGCATATTTAAATAAAGATTCCAATTGTTATTCTTCTAAAAAATTTTTCTTGCTATTTCTGACTATACAGGCAGATGATTTGGAGTCTGATTTGGAGTCTCAGAACAAAAATATGTTACTTTCTGTAAAGTCAGGTGGGTGTTACCTTCTGGAAAATTTGATAGTTGTGTTTTCTGATGATTCACAACAATTTTAAGTTATTTCAGTGACCTTTTAAGTATGATACAGAACAAAAATTAGTAAAAATAGTTTTATTTTTTCCCCATTATTTGACAACTGCAACAAATTATTCGCTGATATAGCATAGATATGTGTTTTTGTACCCGTATAATTGGTCTGCACATTATGCATGTGCAGAATAATCTACAAGTTGGTTTTACATTAAAAAAGGATTTTAAAAATTATTACAATTATCACTTTTTCAGATTTGATCTTAGGCTATCCAAACAGAAGTGGATATCCAAAAATACCTAAATTGCATTAGTCACAGTGTTCTCTACTTTGATTAAGCATCTCACTCTAGTATAAGTCTTATATATAATCCATTTTAAATGTTGTAGAGATAGCTATAAACAATATCATGTGTCCTATAAAGAAGCAAAACATTGAAACACACATCAGTGGATGTGTCCAGCTGGAAAATCAAAGGGTTTTGGCCTGATGGATAATATAGGAATCACATAATCTGAGTGACTGAAGTTCCCTGTGGTTATATACATGTTTTGTTGGTTCTGGCCCTTTCGTGTAAAGTCAGATCAAATGTCTTTAGTATTAGTAAGGATATAAAAATATTGGGCCGAAACCTCTGAATGGGACAAATTGTTTGACAGGTTGTACCTATAAGGTCTTGTGGAGCTTCTTTGAAGAATGTAGCTCTCACTACTTTAGCAAGTTGTGTGGCCCAACAAGGGTGGGTTTGTAGACACAAACAGTTCTCACCAAGAATCTGATGACTACACTACGTGCCTTTCATAAAAGATAAATTTGGAATGGGTTTAGCCTGATGAGTTGGACTGAGCACCCTTTAGCAGTTGAAGTGTATTAAGTACTCTCCTGGAATGAACCTTCTGTTTTAATTTTGTCAAAAAGAGTCCAGTTTGTAATCTGAAATATCTGAAGTTTTCATGAAATAGAATTGCTGTGTGGACTCATGTCTCAAGGTTCATTTTAGCATCTAATAGAAGTTGTGAATCTCAAAAGCAGTTCACATGCACATATATAATTTCTTTGTTTTCCCCCTCATTGTGTTCTGTGAAAATGTTTTAAACATTTTTGGATATCATAGCAATTCTTACAGGCATATATGGGGCTAACATATTAAAGAATATGACCCAACATTTTTTAAAAAATATAAACAGATTCTGTGTGCCAAACATCTATAGTATTCATCCAAAAAATTATTATACATTCAACAAATAATTCTTATGCAAAAGTATGGGGTTTTTATCAGCTTTGCTTCAAATCATATTACCAAGTAAATAATATAGAACCATAACATGTAATAGAAAGTCATTTTATATCATGGTGACAAGTATAAATAAATAAAAATTTCATACTAAAATTTAAAAATAATTGACTGAACCAAAGTGTGAAAAATGAGTACTGAAATAAAAGTCAAAGTAAAGAAAACAAATTAGAAAAAAAACCCCAAACCAAACCAAGAAAAAGAACACCCCCCCCAAAAGGGACTTAATTACTTACATGCAGTAATTGTGAGCTTTCCAAAAGCAACTTAAAAAAAACTCTTAACCCTTTTCATAATGCATATCTACAGTGAGATCCACAACTCCCTTCTCTTCCTTCTCCTCCCTTCCACTGCTGCTCTCTTTCCCTTCCTTCTTCCTCCTTCTTCTCACTATATGTATATTGTGTACCAGTTCATCCATACATTATTTGAGAACCTTGTGAAAACTTTTGAAAATCCAGTGATTATTTTATAATTACTTTAGGCATAAAAATATAGAAGAAAAACTAAAGAAAAGAATGCTTCAAAATAATTAACATTCAAAGAAACTATGCTTGCTGTATAAATTATACCAGAATTAGTTACAGCAATCTCTTCCAATACTGATAATTACTGAATAATAAACATTTTAAGGAAGGAATATTTTGAAATACAGAATGTACATTGTAACACAACATGTGCTATGTAAATCATATACCAGTTCAAGTAATTACTCCCACACTATTAAACATAAACTCTAGTTTAATTCAAGCTTTACCCTGACATATGATATTACAAAATGATACACAGGCCAAACTGAATTAAAAATGTGTGAGTGTAATATGTTTCAACTAAACAAGTAACTGAAAATTGGAGCTTGTTCATTATTTCCACTATAGAGAAAAACTGATAATGGAGTTCATGGTGTAATACTAAAATTTTTACAGTTTTCATGGTCAAGTTATTAATTCTCTCCTTGTTGTTTAAGGGTTTGTTCCTTTTTTATTTTTGTCCACAGAGATGGTGATAATTCAAACCATCCCTGTACCTCTGTCTGCACAAAGTACCAACACCCATCACAGACTTATAGATGGTTCATGTAGTAAAATTCATGGAAATCTGGTAGCATAAGTCACAGGAAGAATGGATTTGAGGAGACATCAGAGGGCCAGATTTTATTCACATGCCTTGAGCACTCATTGCAGTACTTCTTTAAATGTTAAAGGACAGCTAGTGTTGTTCTGGAAATATGACGTCAACTTATTTTGGTATTCTTTGAAAAGACAAAAAACAAATTGGGTTTGGAACATAAGTTCCTACTGTCCTGACTAAGTCATTCATACAAAATGTCAATATCATTTTCATACTATTTCTCAAAAACAGATGTTAAACTTAGCCATCTCACAAGCTCTTCATGACAATACTCCCAAATCCAGCTGTAATGGGGACCAAAATAACATAACTTACATGACTCTAGATAGAAGGAAATGAAATATTTCACTTAAGAGTAGTTGTTATGTGGTGATATTTCACATTTCCAGAGGTTTTTATCTTCAGCAGAGCATTGCATAATATTTTAGGAACTAGAGACAAACTTTCTTCCAATCACCAGTTCAGCCAGAATTATTCTGTCTTTAAACTTCCACATGGAAACAAACCCAAATCTTTGTCTGTTTGTTCCTGCTGTCTGAAAACCATTGCATACACAGATACCACCAAAACAGTCAAATGCTAACCTTAATTGCTGTGAAGATCTGCGATATTACTTGGCTAGTGAAGCTCATCTTCTGCTTTCTCTTAGTATATAGGCTCTGTTTTATGCAATTATGTCTGTTCTATTTTCTCCATCACAAAAGTAATTTGATGTTGGTGAAATAGGAGGCCAGGTCCAAAAGAGTTAACTAAGAAATCTGGGCCTGCTAACAAGCTACTAACATCCAATTGAGCTGTACTTGTTCTGTTCTACTTACTGGACCAAAACTTAAAAGAATGGTAAAAGAACATGTAATAGGCCTAGAGGTAATAAATTAAGATGCAGTAGGATAAGGTAGACATTTGAATAGAAGAAACAGGCTGGGAGCCAAGGCTTTTTCCAAGCTTCAGTGAGCGGGTCGAGAACAATGGAAGAGAGGTCAAGCTGAGGAAGATGAGATTAGCCCCCAGACCCACAGGATGAAGAGCAGATCTCCCACCAAAATTGAGGGCCAAGAGAAGCACTGCCCCAAGCCCCGCCTGAGCTCCACCTATACTCCGCCTGTTATTAATATGTATAGATAGATGTTGTAATCACTTGAATATGCATTTAATCATATACGAAAATTGTATAAAAACTGCTGATTTTATGTGAAGCCATTAAGCAAGTTTTTCCAGCAATAGCTGGCTTGCTCCCAGTGCTGTCAATAAATACCTTTGCTGCTCAAAGATCAAAAGCCTCTGGGCAGTTCATTATACCGAATTTTTCGGAATCATTGGTTTTTTTGGTTTTGTTTGCTTGCTTGCCTGTTTGTTTTTTTTAATTTAAATATGTCATTAAAGAGGCCAACTGTTTTACTCAGCAGCTTTCTTATAGTTTTATCCAATCCCCAGCCCCAAAAGAACAACAGAAGAATTTACATTAAGCAAAAAAATGTTCTATAAATAAAATATCAGGAGAAGCATAATGAGAAGACAGGAGAATTAGACTGAAAACTTTGGACATTGGGCTTTTTTCTTGTCACACTTTTACATTAAAATTTATAGATTAAGACCAATTTTGTGGAGGTATGAAATTCCCAAGAAGCTGACTTAATTTTCACTAGCAACACAGTCCATGGTAAGACAAGAAAGAGAATGACAGTTACTGGCCAAAATCCGTATAGACAAAGACTAGAGCTTTCTATATTCTGGAAACAGAAAACATTAAGTATGCTTATCTTTAAAATAACATATGCCATTTGGAGTCACACTGTGATTTGGATCTATGACAGTATGAGCAAACAGGTTAAACAGATCCTGTATTAGATCAGTTTATATAATTGGGGAAAAAAACCAACGAGGTGACTTCCGGGGTTCTCATGCTAGTAATCTGCTCTGTAATAGAAGCAGTAACTTTTGAAGGGACCTAAAGGTTTAGGATAGTTGCTTTAAGTACAATATGATGCTTTTCTACAGAATAGTTGAGTAGACAGGATGATAGGCAGCTGTAATGCAGGGGGTGACAATAAAGCAGATGAAAACTGTGTTAACCTTATATACAAAAGAGAAACAGGCATCAACCAACTTTGCTTCCAACACTTCGGGGGTGGGACAAATACAGCATAGAGAAGTTCTTATATCCCGAGTCCATGACTGAGGATATTCAATAGATTTGTGCATTGGAAAGGAGCTTTGAAGCTGTCCCTTAAGAATATGTAGTGTGAGATCTTGGCAAGTGGTGTTGTGACAAATATTGCTCACCTAGGGGTAATTATTTGGTTTAGCCTTCATCAGAGGTCTGTTTGAGCTCAGTTCAGTGTGTAGTAGTTGTTCAGCTTCACCTATATAGATGTCCTTGGAGGGCCTACATTTTGCTCTACGGGGCTGCCATTTGAAAAGTAATAGGGGAGACCTGAACATGTATTTCAAGATACAAATAGCATTTCTTTAATAACTTTTAGACTTTGTTTTAGCTCATGATGGTATGTGATTGCTAAGGGTGTACTATCAGTGACACATTTTGATTTTTGTACTAAGTTTTCATATGTTTCTTTCAGAGGTCATTCAAAGATGTAGTCTGGAAAACAGTTTGGTGGTGCAGTTTTCTTTTACTCAGATGAACTGGGTATATCAAGCAAATCTTTAATGTCCTGGTTGTATATCACGGCATTTTTTATGGGGTTTTTTTCAGGTGTTTACTGGCTTTTCTGATCTGTGAGATATGTAGCAGTTTGTAGGAGCAGCTTGTAGTTTATCATCTCATGATGCCTCTGGTGTCTGAATTAATAGCAAGGAAGCTGCGGCTGGGGTTGATACAGAAGCATGTCAGAACTGGATGATGGAGAGATGGTAGATATGGAATTCGTGATAAAAATTGGTAAGTCAAGGTTAACACAGATGTTATGGTTGTCATCTAAGGATGTTACAACACTAAAATATAGTTATTTAGATTCAGTTCCTTAAAAATATTAATGAAATTGAAGGCATACTAGGAACTACTTATGTGCGCTGTCTTGACAGTAGTAGTTGTGAACTCTGTTGAAACTGCTGTTTATTAAAGGTACTTTTTCTTGTGTATAAGAACTTAGCAAATATGAGATAATGACTCACTGATTAAACTGGAATTCCAGGTGCTAGTTCTTAGTTGTTGATGTGCTGCACACAGGAAGGATCAAATTAGTAATCACATTAGTGCTTCTGCTACTCAAGCAAATGGGACATTCTACCACTTATGAATAAAATTGTATTTCAACTTTTTATAGATTTCCATTTCTCCATTTGATACAGCTCTGGCAAGAGAACCTTTCAAGCTATCATAACTGTGAATCCAATGTGGAAGTTGTTTGCTGCTCTTTTGGAATGAAAATAATTTCACCAAAACCAGAGTCATGAATTGTCTTTCCAACGTTAAGGATATGCTTTAGCAGTCAGATTTGAGACTTTCCAATACAAAAACTTTAAACATCACTAGCATCCACTGGACTTTGCTGAATAACCTCATTGAATAGAGCATTTTGGAGAACATTAATAAATTATTCTACTGAGAGCCTACATTGCTCCCATTAAAGTGAATACCAAAGTCTAAAGTCTCGGGGTTTAGAAATCTCACAGTTGCAACCATATTGATGTCAACTACATCTGAGGTCACTTCATTTCTCTCCTTAAATTACTGAGTTCTATATCTGCTGGTTCTGTACTTTTGAGAACAAATGTAATGAAATCAGGTAACCCTGAGACAATTATGAAAAATATTAGGAAAACAATAAATGCACTCTATTTATTTATATATCTCAGTGAGAGAGCAAAAGTGAGCAAAGTATTTTTAGAAAGCCAGCAGAGGGTAGTTGTCCAGTTGCATGGATATATAACTATTAATCAGAGTAAGAAAGGTTGTCAAAAACATTATTAGTACTGATAGTTTTGTAACTGGCCATCAACAGAAAACTCTTTCACCTCCAGGTTGAAAGGGTCAAAGTAAATCTACATCTCAGGCAGCAATAAACTGGCCATTTTACATCAACTAATATCTGCCTTGCATTAGGGACTGTTATACCAGTGAAGGATTTGTCCTTTGAATAAAACATTAAATCAAAGTCTTTTCTGCTCTGTAGGCATTATGGATAACATGACATGACTAATAGGAGAGTAATAATGATTAGAAATCTCCAAAGACTTCTGACTTGATGTTTATCAAATGTACGTAGTGGATAATGAAAGCAGTTTATAAAGACTTCAGCATCAGAGAGTTTAATACACAAAAAGGAGGTGGGACTTCTTAAGGACAAATATCCCATTCTATTTCAAACAGACTCAAACTCTAGCGAAGACATGGGCTGAAACAGGACATTTCTGAAACAACTAAGTGACTTTCTGTGTTCACTGTGTTCTATTGACTTTCAAAATCATAATTTTTGTGCTTATTTAAATATTTCTAATAAGCAGAAGGAGGTGGAAAAAATGATGAAAACAGACAGATTTTAGAAACCTGAAAAGAGATTTAGTTTTCATTGTAATCTAGTTCATAAACAGAAGATGAATAATTTTCCTGTGTTCCTCTGTCATATGTAATGCACTTTGTATTCATGTACATTCCAAAGCTATAGTCCATTAAGCCCATTGTATTTTCCCAAAATTAAATTTTAAACTTGCAAATGTAGTTTTGTGTATTGGCTATCATAATTCTGTGAAATGCTGTGGAAATTTCAGTAGGGCTGTATAAAGTTATAAAAATGGAGATCACAAATAAAGTTGCCATTTACCAGTTTTTAATGGGGAATTTCAATCCTAAACTCTAATTTTTAGACATGACGGCGTTTGCAACATGACTTGAAGTCTTCTAGTTTTGCTGTAAATCATCATCAGATGCAAAAGAAAATTTTTCCAGTATGAAAAAAAAGTTGTTTATGTCTTTTGTATTCACATATGAGATTCTAGAAAAATGTTAACAGAAACTGATAATAAATGTCATGGAGTTCTGTTTTGTCTATTTGCTTTTGTATTTAAATCTCTTCTCTACTTAAACATGAATATGTCTTGACAACATATTTTAGCATTTTCTTTTCAGATATTTGCCCCTTTGTTTGTTCTTATAGCCATTTCCTTTGTGGTCTCAACGGTCTAAACTATTGTAAAGTAAACTTTTTTCCGGGGCGCATTTACTGGAAGTATTTTGATCAATCACAAATTTCCACAATGGGAGAACTCTTAGAGGAGATTGGCAATGACTGCTCTCAGGGCAAGCTCAGTGAAGAACATGACTCAGCAGTGACTGAGTGTTGCTGAAATGAAAATAAAGCTAAATATATCTGAACACACAGAGGACTGGATTGTGGGTGAACACCAGGATTACGAAACCTGGAAAGAACGGCTTTAGAAACAGGTCCTTCACAGTAGCAGCTCCCCGGAATCGAGTGGAGTGAAAAAGCAGCAATATGCATTTTTCTGTTGTACGGGTTTCCCTTGGTCTCCGTAACCATGCAATGCCCCCCCCCCCCCAGTACTATATGGCCTCCCCTCCCTGAACACAGACTCCGCCTCTGCACAAGCATAATAGGCCGTCTCATCCGCTCCTCAGGTATATCTCCAGTTTCTCTAACTGGACTAGGCCTCCAACTGAACTTGAAGTCTCGTACCACCCTCTGGGCCACCCTCAGTCTGTTTTCAGTACATACATTCAAACAATTTATATATACGTCAAGTATTAAAGATTTGTAGAAATATTCTCCTCTTTCCTGAAGTGTTTAAATTGGATGATAAACAAAAGACATCGTAATTAGCAGCTCAATAGAGAAAAATATATATGATTGCCTGACTTCCCTTGTGTATAGAATAATTAGAAAATGAAATGAGAAAATATGGGAATGGAAATTTTCTGTTGGTGTAATATTTATATATATTTAGTACCAGATGCAGAGAGTGATAGGAAGAAATATCATATGCTTCTTCTTTTTGCTTATCTTTTTGATAGATAAAAGCATCTATCAGAAATAAAAAATGAACAGAACAGTGGGAAAAAAAATTCTTTTAAAGAAACAGTCTTCTTTTGCAAGGCCTGGGTACGTGGTTTACAAACTCATTTCCACTGAATTTATTTAGTCAAGACTGGTTTCAATACAAATCATTAGCAAGACAGATTTAGTAGCACTCATCTGAATACTAGTGCTAGACAACATATTCCAGGCTTTTAAAGACAACGACATGAATCCAAGACTGTGGCTTTTCTGGGCTGAAGAGTAAGGAACAGATGTCAGGAATGGTAAATGCTACCTGACTGTGGGGAGGATCTGCTACATTTTGAAATCAATAAAAATGTACAGTGTAAGTCTTCCATACAACTCTTGATATATCAGGTCTAACTGTGAAACAGAAAAGCAAGCAAGCAAATGACTGGTAAAAATATACAAAACCATTGTAAGGAAAAAAAGGATCAACCCCAGATCTTTAGGTTTTGTGGTTTAACTCCAGCTGGCAAATAAGTGTCATCCAGACATTTGCTTATTCCCTGGTTGGGATGGGGAAGGGAATCAGAAGGGTAAAAGTGAGAAAATTCATAGACAGATAAAGACAGCTTAATAGGTAAAGCACACAAGCAAAGCAAGCAAGGAATTCATTCACTTCCCATGGTCAGGCAGGCGTTCAGTCAACCCCAGGAAAGCAGGGTTCCATCATGCATAATGGTGACTTGAGAAGACACTCTGAACATACTCCCCTTCCTTCTTCTTCCCCCAGGTTCATTTGCTGACCATGGCACCATATGGTATGGGATATCTCTTCGGACAGTTGGGGTCAGCTGTCCTGGGTATGTCCTCTCCCATCTCCTTGTGCACCTCCAGCTGCCTTGTTGGTGACGTGGGGTGAGGAGCTTCTAGAAAAGGTCTTGACTCCGTGTAAGAACTGCTCAGCAGTAAATAAAACATCCCTGGTTTTCAGCACTGTTTCCAGCACAATTCAAAACACAGCACCATACCACCTACTGAAAAGAAAATTAACTCTGCCTTTATTCCAGATGGGAGCGTGTTCAGTGTACACTAAATTAGATCTTACATTTTAATTTCCTCAGAAAAAAATCTAGTTTGTACACACTGACACTACTTTTCAAAATAAACCATCAGATGATAAATGAAGATCATGTGGTTGTCTGCACAAAACTGTGCTGCTGATCGGAGTTAGTTTTTCACAGATTTTTATCCAAGACTTGTGAAGAACAGAAGCACAGATTGGCATATGTCCTCAGCAATTACTTAAAAAAACCCCTAGTAGGATAATTCAGACTAATTCTCAGTTATCTCAGATTTATTTTGGATTTTCTTCTTTCTTATTTTTTGGAGAGCTTTTTTTTTTTTAATTTTTTTTTTATTTTATTCTTTTATTTTCTCTTTGCAGGAAAAACCCACACCTGTGAGCAGAATTAAGACTATGACTCTATAATGCACTAGTGGATCTAATAGTAGGGACTGACTTAACAACTTTACATCTTTATTTGTAATCATTCTTGAAATATGGCTTCTAGTAATGTAAATCTTTCTTCCACTTTCTATTTTCAAACAGGTTCCTAGAAGCAAAGGTACTTGGGATCTGTCAACCTTTTTTGCATAACTAGAAGTAGGGTATTATGATCTTGGACCAAATCTACATCAGCATATTTAATCTTGTAAACATTCATGTCAGAAGTGTTTTGCATTCTACCAGTCCATATATTTTTCCTGAGTTTCATAATAATATTATTTTATTATTGCAATGTCTATGTTTTGGTTTTTTCCCTCTCGGTGGCCATTTTTTTCCCAGAGTTATTACCTTTATTTTCTGTAGATTCAGTAAGACTCATCTGAAACAATGATAATGTTCTCTGGATGAAATATGTTATTTCATTTTTTCCAAGTCCAGTGTAGTTTTTTCCCCGAAGAAGAAAAAAAAATTATGTTGAAACAATTTAACCTGAACACATTTTATATATAATTTCAGAAAGATGAGTTTAATCCACTGATATTTTTTTTAAGAATGGAGCATCTTTTTTTCAGAGGAATGGACTACAAAGGCAATGAAAACAGTACTTTAACTTCTGAAATATCAAACTGATGCAGCAGTTTAGCACAAACACAGAGTAAAGCATGTTATTTTATTTTAGGAATATGTAGATATATTTTATTATGATGCCAGTAAAACTTGAAAATACATAACCTATCATGAACTCATCCCATCTTTTCCTGTTGTTCAAGTCCTAGCTGGATTGAATATAAAGAATACTAAACAATCACATATAATGCAGCAAAATTTAAGGTTATAAATCACACGTGCAGCTCATTAACTAATATGAGAAAGAGAAAGCAAATTACTAGTTTTAAAGCAGGGATCATTATGCTATGTGTTATGTCTAATTATTCATTCTCAAACTATAGAGAAGAATAATTTAAAAAATGCTTTTACGTACAAATAGATTGTACGGTGTCACTGTTGTTCAGTTTAAGTTAGACAAATTCAAATGACAATTAAACCACAATTCAGAGTGACTAAGTATTAAAAGGAGGAGACAAAGATGGATTTAACTCAGAGGTTAGAAGCAATGAAAATACAAAGCTAACATCAGTTTTGTTTAACTGCTTTTTGAATCCTATGGACTACCTTTCATTTTAGAGTCACTCTAAGTGATTGTTACTGTCATGATGATTTGTGTGGTTTGCTAAGTTTAAAGTCAAATTTAAAATGCTAAAATTTCACGTAAAATCCTCATTTCAACTTTTGAGTGTTCATACTTAAAAAGGACTCAGTCATTGCAAACTGCTGATAATCTATCTACTCAGGTAATTCAGTTCATGTGTGGCAAGTAAAACTAAACTGTAATATCTGATCATAATGTTATTTTGTAATCTATGATGAATGAATTGGAGAAGGGTTACTATAGAATCACAGAAACATTTAGGTTGGAAAAGACCTCTAAGGTGATTGAGTCATTTATAGTGATATAATGATATGTTACTGAAAATTGCATACATGTTTAACTTCATGAAATATTAACATGGGGTTCTGTTTCAGGAAGTAAGATTATTTAAATCATTGCAGGACTAATGCCCAGTTATTCAGGAAGCAGTAGGACAGTAGAGCTAATCTTCTCTTAAAAATTAATTTAAAATAATTAATCTGTTCTCAATCAGACCCACTATGCAGAAGAATGTTTTGTTGTTTTGGCTTATTGGATTTTTTCATTTGTTTAAGTCCTGCTCAACCTTCAGTTGGAGTTATACACTGCACAATCACATTAATATTACATTATGTATCTTTATCTTGATAGTTGTCATTCTATTTCCCAGCAAGTAAGGTGGCTGCAGTCCACTTCCTAGTTACCAGTAACCAATTCACAAAAGATTTATATTTTTTTTAGGAGACCGAGAAGCTCACGAAGACTAAAAGAGGGATTAAAAAACATTAGTAGAACAAATGAGGTTTATTTTTTTTAATTACAAATCACTAGCATCTTATTTTTCTATAATTTTTGTTTTTTTGGCAGACCCAGCAGTATCATTAAGCTGATAAACAACATATGAAAAGTATGTTTCTTAACGTTGACAGACTCCTAGACTGATCCCAGTATTAATATTCTACATTAAAATAATTTGGATTTTGTTCTCCATCTACACACAGTCACATTTTGTTGTTGATTTTCAAAACTCATATGTGAGTGTGGTCTGTGGAGTGGAATTAAAATTTTGAATTAATTTTTCCCATGTTCCAATAAAAATAATGCAACTGTTGTTAAGAGTGTGTTTGAA